CAGGTCATCTAGGTCTTTCTAATGTGGTTTGCATGGGTTTTATCCAGAAAGGATATTTGACATTATCCAGAAATTATATAACCTTCTAAAGCAGGCTGGTATCTCTTAATTTGGGGCTTGACAGCTGATAATTTCAGAACAGCCATCTCTCAAGGCCAAAAGATGAGAATATAATTAGTATTCTATATTTCTATTAAAGTTCTGAAATTACAGGACAGACGTTCCATTCTGAAATGGCCAATACCACAGCACAGTTGTATTTCTTCAGCAAATGTACCCCTCTCATAAGGCTGCAAAACTGCCAAAAAACTACCCAGAAAAGTGTTCTTCCTGTGCCCCTCCATGGGGCTCTGGGCCCATTTGGGCAGATCCTGTTAGTTCTGTTAGGTGCAGTTAGCTCTGCTGCAAGTTTATGAGCTAGGGAAATACGCTGTTTCTATACTGCTATGCTTAGAGGCTTTTACCTTTGGGAACTTGAGTTAGCATGATAGTTCTTTTTAAAACTTTTTAAACCTTCTCAATAGTTTATCAAAGTGGCATGATTTTTTTTCTATCTTAATTCTGTGGATCAAAACAATCCGTTCTTGCAGAAGGTGAGAGACAAGCAGTAAGCCGTGAGACATTTGCTGGGCTGTTCTTGAGCCCACTGCTGTTCTCAGGCTGTGGAAGGTTCACACCCTTCAAACCTCAGAATTGGCATTCCTTCCCACTGTGCTCCCCAAGTTGGGGCTGGGACTGCTGAGAGGGATAACTTTTGGTAGACTGAAATGGTTTCTGAAGATACTGAACTGACATTTAAAAGCATTAAATTGCATTATGAGAAAGTCCTTTTTTAGTTTTCTTTACAGTCTTGGTTGCAATGCAAAGGAAGGCTATCTCGGGCTAAAATATCATTAACACTATAACACATGCTAATTTCCCCCTTGTAAAGAAGAGAGATCAGACCTCTGGCAACTGTAGCCAGCTAGAAAGGCCTAATACAGATTTTTTCACTGTATTTACTTGTAGGGTACTTCCTATTTATGGCAGACAGCCTTGGTTTTTCTTTTACTGCAGTGATAACTGTACTTTTTAATCTTGCATGTTAAAAAGTGAGAGAATTAAAAGGAAAATACTCCAAGTCTGTGAGTGATACCAGTAAGGCCAGTCCAGAAACTGCACTGCTGGGCCACTGAGTGGTACCGGCCCTGGTTTCACATAAGACTCTTCCAGGGAGCCTGGAAGATCCTAATGCCTGGGCCTCAACCCATACCAAGTGACTCTGAGCCCCAGGGGTGGAGTCCGGCATCAGTATTTGACTCAAACATTCCAGATGTTTCCATCTGTAGCTGAGGCTAAGGTCGGCTTCCCGCCTGTGCTCAGGCACCATTTTTCTACCTCTGACCCCACATCCTGATTGCATCTTACATTTCTTTTCCTTCTCCTACTTCTAGACCTTCTCGTCCATTCCTTTCACTTTAATTTTGCTCTTCTTTTCTCTTTCTTGGGTTCTGTCTTCCAGATAGGAGGAGAACTATTCCTGTTAGTAATACCCTGGATCATTGCTTCTTCTTTTAAGACTATTGTTGAAATCACTTACTTAGTTGCAACTATGTTGGAAAATTTGCACTTTGTACTGTTTTCAACAGCATTTGTCTGCCAGTTCATTAGCCAACAGTCTAGTTTCTGAACATCTAAACTTTTTGGATTTTGTTCTCTGCTGGTAACTTGTTTTGACAATGATAATTATTACTGGGTCCTTAGTAAGCCTGTTGCTGCTGTAAGCACTTTACATGTGTGAACCTTTGTTGTCCTGATATATCAGTCATCCTATTGATCAGTCATCAATCAGGGTGATATGTCATCCTGATATACCAGGGAGGTACAATTCTTCAATGAGGAAACTGAGGCACAGAGAGATTAAATATTTTGCCACAACTGTGAAGTGGCAGAGCCAGCATTCACACTCAGGCAGCCCTATACAAAGCCCATATTCTCAGCAGATGGAGCCCCTAGTTGGTTTTTTATAGTCCTGATTCAGATGCCCTGGCCTGCAATGAGTCACACATCAGAAGACTGTTCTTTGCTGCGATAAGAAATTGAAATTTGGACCCATTGTCTGCTTCAATGTCGTTTGGAATTAATATCTCTTTTTATTTTCAACTTAAACAATAGTATCTCAACAGGAAGCCCACAGCTTTAAATCAAGATTTTAGCTCATCACTGTTCAGAAGAGATCAACCTTAAATGATTTCATGTGTGCTGGCTGTCAAGCCTATAAACTTGAAGATGTAAAAGCCAGTACCGTCAATAATTTTGCAGATGGCAGGGGACACACCGAAACTCTTGGTGGCCTTGATAAGGTTCTTCATTAGCTTATCTGGCATGTGACCTTCTGCAGCCTCCAGTGTTAGACATCCCAGGGCACTTTCTGCCTTTTAAAATGTATCAAGATTCTCATTCTGGTGTTTAAATTAGAGACAGACCTTTGGCCTGTTTCCATTACTTGTGGAAGACATTCATTTTTACACTCAAATTGTTCATCCTTTGTGATACTTGGGGTTGACTTTTAGGAGGTTAGACCTTCTGAATTGCATTAAACCTTAAAATATCAGGAGAATTTTCAAGTGGCTGAGTCCTCTGGGGACCTCCAGTATCATTGAAGATTTCAAAATGATGAGTAATGGAGCTAAGTCTGAGACACTGTGCCTTGGGTATAGTGAGTAGTCACATTATCAAATCTGTTCCCCCCATTTTCTAGGCCCCCAAGTGCCATATAAAAGACACTTTATGTACATCATTTCATTCAGTTCTCCCAGCAAGCCTATACCACCAGAATTAGGGTCTTGTTCATTTTTCTGGTTGAAGAAACAGGCTCAAGAATGTCAGCTCCAGTGCTTGGGGCTTCACAGTGAAAGAGGATTGGAATGTAGATCTGCTGAGCCGTGGAGCCCATGCTTGTATGTTTATGCTCTGTCCACTCCTGAGCTAGAGAAGGTGTTATATTTTGGATATCTGAGTCCTCCAAAAAGCTCATGTGTGCAGCGGTGGGCTTTTGAAGGTGATTGGATCATGAGAGCTCTGTTCTCATCAGGAGATGAATCCTTAGCTGAATGTGCTATAGGAGGTGGGGCCTGGTTGGGAGGGGTAGCTCACTGAAGGCATGACCTGGAGGGGTGTATCTGCCTCCCTGGCTCCTCCCTTTGCTCTCAGTTTCCTGGCCACCATGAGGTGAACAGGTTTCTTCCACCTCGCCCTTCCTGCCTGGGAGTTAGCCAACTGTGGACTGAATCCTCAAAAAACCATGAACCAAAGTAAACCTCTCCTCCTTTACGTTGTGAGTATCCAGTATTTTGTACCAGTGACAAAATAACTAAGAAGAAAAGTATACAAGACACAAGGTTGGCTGTTGTTTTCTGGGCAGAAATATGAAGAAGGCACACATGGAACGTAAGGAATTTAAGTTTAGCTTCTCTGTGGCAGGCAGACTTGAGCTGGTCAAATCCTCCTCTCAATGTGGTCCCCTCTGTCACCTTCCTGTGTTAAGGCTGTTGGCTAAGAAGACAAAAGACTACTGATCTTCAGGAGTACAAGACTCTGCATACACTGGGGCCACAGGCAAAAAAGCTTGTCTTTGACTCCTGCTCTTAAGGCCATACCTCTCTAATTTGTTTCCAAAGACCCAACATCTTTAGCATTCTCCACTCCTCCCTTTTTGACTGCCCAACTTCTTCTAAATTTCTTCTGTAATTCTTAACAATTGAACTCTACTGTTAATCTGCAATGACCAGCTAGATCTGTGGTTCTCCACCTTTTGCCTACATCAGAATCACCTGGAGGTTTGCTGAACAGATCTCTGCACCTACCAGAGTCTGGATTCAGTAGATGGTGCTAGTGCTGCTGGCCCAGGAACCACACTGAGAGAAGAGCCAGTTGCATGTGCATCAGTGGTGTCTGCCTGAGTAGGAACCCTGGTAATGGGAGAATTCACTCACGTTAGGAAAGATGCCATTGGAAGACAGTGAGAAAGACACTGTGGGTAGGCAGCCCCAGACCTTTGTCCCTTGTTGTCATCATGATAACTACTATAATGTCACATGACCTTGATGTGCCATGACTTTAGATAGCCCCCCCCCACTGATGTAAGCCTCTACCAGTTGTATCTCTGAGCAGTTTTTTTCTCTGCAAGTGAAAGGCCTTTCCTTCTAATTAATAGAGTTTTTTTTATTCCCATGTTATGCTTTCTAAGCAAGAATGTACACTGGAATCTCCTGGGAACCTTGGTAATATGAGGATTCTGATTTAGTAATTTTGGAGTGAGGTGAGGCCTGAAACTGCCTATCAAATGACATCTCAGATGATGCTGATGCTCTGGTCCTGGACCTGCACCTGGGTTAACAACTCTGAATTTCAGCTTTATACAGCAATGGCCCCATCCCTGCTGTGTAATAGAATCACCAGGAAAGCTTTTAAAAAATCAAGGCCACATCTCTTGGATATTGTAATTTAATTCTGAGCACTGGAATTTTAATTCCTCTCCCAAGTGATTCCAAATTATAGCCAGGGTTGGAATCTACCAGGCTTTTGAAAGAGATAATACCTTGTAGGAGTCAGGGCATGGGCAACACCATGGGCTGGGCCAGGACGGTTGCCTAGATGAGGAGCCTATGAAGGTCACCAGGAATCTTGGTAAAACACAGATCCTGTTTCTGCACATTTAGGTGGGACCCAGTTTTCTGCATTTCTAATATGTGCCCAAGTGTCTTCCATGCTGCCAATTCAGCCTGCCAGGTACTGAGCTTCAAGGCTGGGCCACATGGGCCACATGATGCGTACTGTGTCTGCCAGTGAAGGTGGTGGGCAGCTTTCTCGTGATGATTGTTGGAGGTTTTCAGGTTTCACCTCCTGACCCCGTCAGCACCATTTAATGTCTCTTTCATCCAGCTTGGCACTAACACAGGACACTGGGGAATTCAGATCAGTTCTCTTTTTGTAACATTTTCATCCTTCTCTCTTCACAGTACGAGATGCAAAAAATCTAATCCCTATGGATCCAAATGGACTTTCAGATCCTTACGTGAAGCTGAAACTTATTCCTGATCCCAAGAATGAAAGCAAACAGAAAACCAAAACCATCCGCTCCACACTGAACCCCCAGTGGAACGAGTCTTTCACATTGTAAGTGCTCTCTTATGAATTAAATTCCACTCTTCTCACCACACATTGCCAACTTCATTGTTAGAGATAATGCGAGGCATCTGTGACAAATATCCCTAAACTGGTCTTCATTCCTAAGACCTGTTCAGGCTCCTGTTAAGTAGTAGCTGTCATTACCTCCAGTTAATGGATAGTAACTTGGTTTACCAGGAGTTGCATGATGCAAGCTCCAAATTATTATCATTACTTGTTCTGTTTAAAAAATCTGTTTCAGGTGCAGTGTGTGATATAAATCATATAAGGTATGTCCCACCTCTTGATGGACCTGAGTTCTTTTGAGGGAGTGGGAGGGTGTGAGTCAGGAATTTAATAATTTTTACAACACAGAATAAGTGAATATCGTAGAAAGTAGTATTACCACTGAAAGGGGATGACATCCTCACCTTTAAGCAGGGAGGACTTCCTGGAGGAGTGACATTTGAAGTGGGCCTTAAAGAATTACCTTAAAGAATTTTAGAAGTGGAGATGGTGGAAGAGGAAGAAGGATGGAGGGAATGATAAGAGAAAATAAAGATGTTAGGAGGAGGGAAGCACAGACTACAGCAGAGCACAAACAAGTGGTCCTCTTTGTGGACTCAAAACCAGGAAGCAGTTTCTCTGTGGGTAAACAGAAAGGCAACTCTACTCCAGAAAAGCCAAGAGCTTGGCTCTGAAAAGGCTGAGGTTTAAATATCTTAGTCTCAGCTGCCCCATATCCCTCTTGACATTCTAGTGCCAAAGCAGCCACAGACAATATATAAACTAATGGCCATGTTCTAATAAAATTTTATTTACACAAAGTGGCAGTGGACTGGATTTAGCCCATGGATTATAGCTTGCTAAACCCTGGTATGGAGCTTTGATAGCCAGTATAGAGGACTAGTATATTGTTGGCACCGGAGAAAAACTGAACATACTGTTCCTCCAGACTGAGCTTGTGGTGTCACCCAAGAAACCATGATGGAGATAACCATGGTGTGTGTGTGCATTGTCTTTGTAGCAAATTAAAACCTTCAGACAAAGACCGACGACTGTCTGTAGAGATCTGGGACTGGGATCGAACAACAAGGAATGACTTCATGGGATCTCTTTCCTTTGGAGTGTCAGAGCTAATGAAGATGCCAGCCAGTGGATGGTAAGGAAGCCCTTGGGCCTGCCCATGCCTCCCCTCATTAGACCATGGGAGATGCTGAGAACAGGTGGCTTCAGTCTGCAGTGCCAGGTGGATGTCTGGTCACCTGGCTTCAGTCCCTCCATAGCAGGCATTTCACCAACAGCTCAAGTAGAGGGTAGGGAAGGAGCTGCTGAACCTGCACTTAACCCTCCTTCTCTCCTACGTCTTTGAAAGGTACAAGTTGCTTAACCAAGAGGAAGGTGAGTACTACAATGTGCCCATTCCAGAAGGGGATGAAGAAGGCAACGTGGAGCTCAGGCAGAAATTCGAGGTGAGGATTCCAAAAAACCTACAGGAAACATGTTCTCTTTGCTTTCTAAAACATAACTTTAAGGAGGGCCAGATTTTTGTGGTCACACAATTGAAAAGCAAAGAGCAATTTCAATGTTAGCCCTTATGTTCTTTATTTTTAAAAGTAAATGTTGGGCTGGGTATTTAGCTCAGTGGTTTCACCTCCAGCTGTGCAAGCGAAAGGACCCGAGTTCAATCCCCAGTACCAAAAAAAAAAAAAGTAAGTGTTGTATATAATTACTTCCATTTGCAAACTATTGGCATTCTGAGTCCATTGTCTATTGAGAATGAGACTGGAAATGTTGCAGGGATGAGAGTATGGTTGATTTGTGCTTAAGAATTTGATTTGCACACACTGGGGAGACAGCAAGGTTTGAGCTCAAGGCCCTTCTTACAGAGACAGACTTATGCTCCTGCAGAAAGGATTTCAGTTGGTCCTCTCCTCTGGAGGAATTTGAATGTAATTAGGCTATCATACCAGCATCTGAGATTTGTTTCCTACCAAAAGCAAAAGTTTCCTAATTTTGTCCTAAGAGACCAAACTTCAATAAATATTTATGCTTGGGATTCCTTTTTATTTTGCTCCAGATCTTGAGGAATGACCAGCCTGTTGCTCTTCTCCCTCATTTGTATTTGTGCTCCCATATTCATTTTTCTTTTTTTTCCCTCCTGTCTCTGCTCCCCTTTTCTCCTTTTTTTCCTCCATCCTTTCTTCTCGTTACTTACCAGCCGTCTCAGCTTGTACTAAACGTTCTTTTCTCTAAGCAGCCACCTTATGTTCCACATCATCACTTTCAATTTCTACTTCTCTAATCAGTTTGCATATGAGGCATTTGAGGGATGTGTATAGTTAGCTCTGCTCTCTAGATATGTAACTGGTTAATTCTTTTTTTTAATCTTTCTTTTCTTCAGACTAATAAGGATTCCCTGGTAATTTCCCACCCCTAAAGAAACAAATATACACGTACACATAAGTGTGCCTAGACACTGAGCTGTGAAAGAAATATTGATGAGATGCTGCTGATGTTGTTTTCTTTACTCTGTCATTCCCAAAGATAGAGAGAGAGAGAGAGAGAGAGAGAGAGAGAGAGAGAGAGGCAGCAGATCCAGAGAGGATGAATTTCAAAGGGTGTTAAACATGAACTTGTTCAAATTATTTCATCATGCTGATGTTTGGTTAAAGTGGATGTTAGTGTCAAATAGTTAAGGGAAGGGGCTATAACGTTGGGTTTCTGCTGGGAGCATAAATGAGTGAAGTGAGTCATAGGCATTATAAACAAATGGTAACTAACTGAGGCCTCAGGCTTGATGAGATAATAGGGAGCCATGGGGACCTGGGCTGAGCTGGAGCCCTGTCCAAAGGTGGCAGCCGCTGCTGCTCAGTGCTGGTTGGTCATTGCCTTGTATACACACAGGGCCTGTTCTTCACGAGAAACCAGAAATCTGGAGTTTTATATGACACAGTCTGATTTTTTTCATTGATGGCAGCTAATTAAAACTTTAAATTTTGTGTAGGTCAAACATACATCTATTGCTTTAGACACAGGAGTCAACCAGTGAGAACCAACCTACAGTCTCTGCTCTTTAAAAATATAGAAATAGGGCCGGGGATTTAGCTCAGTGGTTCCGCCGCCTGCCTCGCAAGAGCAAGGACCTGAGTTCAATCCCCGGTACCAAAAAAAGCAATACAAAAACTTTATGAAAAAATTAACACATTTCGCTGGACTATATTCAGTGTCAAACATAAAAAAAAAAAAAAAATAGAAATAAATATAAATAAAAGGCAATATACATAAAATAAAGAGAGTGGGGTTCTTTCTGAAGAAGCCTTATATTATTTAGAGGAATTTAAGTACAAAGATGAAAGTCAAGGTTTTGCTAAGAATAGCCCTTTCTCTTCTCTTCCTCTCTTTGCTCTCTTTCCTCTCCCTCCCTCCCTCACCCCTCTCTTTTTCCTTTTTAATTCGATTGCTTCATTATCTGTGGCACCCTCAGCCCCCAGCTGAAGACACAGACCTGGACTTCTGGACAGGAGGCTTCCTTGACACCCCTCGCAATGTCACGTCACCCTTGTAATGGATGCATTCTCGTGGGGAGACACAGTGCTGGCATTCCTCAGCTGTCTCAGGCGGGGCAGAAACCTGAGTTGCTGACAAGAGCTTTATTAAATTCTGTGCTCTTGGATGGGTCATGAGCAGCCACTAGTCAGAACTGTGAGTACAGCGTCCAATCGAGGGAGGCACAGCACTGGGCATCCTGGTAGTGTCACTTGCAGTGATGTCTGAGACCTCACTTGGCTGATAGAAATATCAACCCACTTTTGATGTTTATTTCCATGGCTTTGTGGTGAATAAACTTCCTATTTTTCTGGGCAGTAAATCCAGCTTTTTATAAAGGTCAGAGTTGAGGCTAAAAAATAAAAATATAAACTACCAGCCAGAGGGCGTAAGGCCAAAAGTGAAGTATTTCTCCTTAGAGGCAGTTAAGAGGCCATGTGTGTCACTGGTTGCTGTCTCTCTCCTGGGACAGCTGAACTTGGGAGAGCAGCCAAGTACTGTCCCAGAGCTGTGTGGCCTCAGCAGGAAGTGATGAGGTCAGCAGAGTGGTAGGGGCGGGGCCCCTGCTGCACAGCCCCCTGGGGTCTGCACCTGGTCCCCTGTGGGACTACATCCCAGCTTTCTCTCTGCATATCTTCGACCTTGTATTTCCTAGATTCCACTCCAAGTGCATTAGCTCGTTTACTTGGACCACTGTAAAAACACAACTACAAGCGATTAACAAAAAGCCACTGGATGATGGCAGCAGAAAGATGCTTAGAATTTCATGACCACTGCCATGCTGCAGTTTAAATGGAATATTCCAACCTGGTTTTAGGCAGGCATTCCATCCATAATGGTATTTTGTTGATGGCTATAAATGTGAAAGTTGGGAACCCTCCTTAGTGGCCATGCACCAGGGCAGAAAGGCGGGGGTCTGCATTTGAACCGTTCAGGGCACAGCCAGCCTTTCCAAACAGGGTGACAGTTTGTCATCAGAGTACAAGATAGGGAACTTCCTTTAGCCCCCATCCTGTTTCTTCCCCCTCCATCTCAGACACAGCACAGTGGTTTCCTGGTGTCTCAGGCTTCCCTCCTTGTACCACTCTCTCAGCGTTGTTGCCATTCTGACTGCTTTCCCTCATGTCATCCCCCTCCCCCCCACACTGTCCCACTTCCCACCCGCTGGGGACAGTTTCACTCAGATGAGTAAGTTTCATCATTACTGGATGAAACACAACACGATGGTTATTCCCTTCAGCAACAGGTACGTTCCAGTGGCCTCGAAGAGCATGTAGTCTACTGAGTTATTCTTCCTACAACTGCGGCTTTTACTGCCTTCCCCAGAAATCAAAAGTCATTCAGTCTGAGGAAAGGAAAATCAAAACAAATGAGCATTTACAACTCTGCCTGCTGCATTAGCATTCATCTGATAATTAGATGAAAAATGTTTTGAATTTAAATTGTTGATTCTAGAATCTTGGCAAAAAAAGATGACCCATGAGTGAAGCTCCAGGATGGTTGGAAGAGCCCTGCTGTCTAATGCAGGCCCTGGTAGAGCAGTTCATCTGCCTGAAACACAGTCCAGCCCAAAACCTCAGTTATGATATTCATGGACAGCAAGTCTGTGGGCCTTTAGTTTGGTCCATGTTTGTCTTCAAATGAAGTATATATGTCCTTGAGTTATATACATAAATTCCATATCCTTTCATTTGTTCAGTAAATAAGGTTCTAGTAATGAGCAAAACAGTCCTTTCTGCCTGTGGAGCTTATGTTTTGTACCTGTGGGCTGTGGGTCTCATTTTGGGAGGCAGGGATGAAACGGGGAGCTTATTGAGAAAGAAACATAACACCTTGTGCAAGTGTAACTTCTGTTGCCTACCGTTGCTTCTGTCATTGTTGAGGACCATCAGGATTCCTGGATTTCCTCTGAATGTGGGTCTCTGGCCAGTGAGTCTTATGGCCAGAGTTGGGAAGGGTCTGCTTTTCCTTGGAGGCAGTGCAGAGGATGGGTTAACTCTGAAAAGAGCTAGCTTAGCAACTATTTTCTGAAAAGGGTCAGGTAGTAAATGTTTTGGGCTTTGCAGGGCCGGTGTTGTCTGCTGTGATACTCTGTCACTGTAGCATCCACAGTGTTTCAATAAAGCGAAAAAACAAAAACAAGTGACAGGCGGGATTTGCCACTGGGCTATAGTTTGCCAACTTCTGGTTCAGCCCATGGACCCTGGGATAAAATCCTCATTTGCCAGTTATTAACTGTGTAACCTCTCTGTGCCTTATTTAGTGTTCTTAATTGTAGGGGAATGATAGCAACATTTACTTGGTAGAATTGTTTTAAAGATTAAGTTAGTCAGTAGAAAAGTTCCCAGAGCACACATACATATTGGCCCTTATAATCATCATTATCAGGCAATATATTTAGATATTTAATAGAAGAAACTGATTTTTTAAATTATTTTTGTTTTCTTTATATAGTATTGGAGGTTGAACCCAGGGACACTCTACCACTGAGTATATCCCAGAGCTTTTTATTTTTTATTTCGAGATAAGGTCTCACAAAGTTTCTTAGGCTAACCTTGAACTTGCAATCCTTCTACCTAAGCTTCCCAAGTAGCTAGAATTACCAACATGTGCTACTGTGGCCAGCTTAAAGGACCTCCTTTTAAAAAAAAAGGAAAAAAACTTCTGAAGTTCCCCTGAAAAATAGTGAATTTTCATGTTGAAATCATGCTCCAAATAGTAGGCATTTTCTCTGTCCTGTGGTCCACCTGTACTGTGAAATACATGCATATGGTGAAAACCTCATCACCATTTATAAAGTTGTTTTTAGGGGAAAAGTATGTTGATTTACATGCAGATGACTCTGTAGAACACTGCATGTCTATAAGTTTGGGACTTTGTATGTCTGGAATGTATCAGATAGCCTCTGAGCAAAGCAAGCTAC